CTGCTAGTGCGAATGTAAAATAATGCAGCAACTTTGGCAAACAGTCTGAGAGTTCCTAGAATGATTAAATTTTTTTTTTAAGATTTTTTTTTTTAATTTATTTATTTGACAGAGAGATAGCACAAGTAGGCAGAGCGGTAGGCAGAGGGAAAGGGAGAAGCAGGCTCTCTGCTGAGCAGGGAGCCCGATGCGGGGCTCGATCCCAGGACCCTGGGATCATGACCTGAGCCAAAGGCAGCCGCTTAACTGACTGAGCCACCCAGGCGCCCCTTGAATGCTTAAATTGAAAGGTATCGTATAACCCAGCAATTCTACTCCTAGGTATATACCCAAGAGAAATGAAAACATATGTCCACACAAAAACTTGTATATGAATATTTATATGGAATCATTATTTATCATAGTCAAAAGGTAGAAACAACCCAAATGTCCATTTTATGGGCAAATGGATAAAATGTGGCATATACATACAATGGAATATTATTTAGTCATTAAAATGAATAAAATATTGATATGTGTTATAACTTATATGAACCTGAAAACATCATGCTGAGTTAAAAGAAGCCAGTCACAAAAGTCTACATTTTATATGATTCCATATTAATTAATTATTGTATTAAGGTCCAGAATAGAGAAATCTATAGAGACAAAGGAGATCAGGGGACAGTGATGAGGGGGTAGGAGGGGTAATAGCTAAGGGTAGAAGGTTTGTTTTTGAGGTGATGAAAACATTCAAAAATCAACTGTGTTGATGGCTGCACATACCTATGAATAGGGTAAAAACCACTGAATTGTACACTTTAAACGGGTGAATTGTATAGTATGTGCATTATATATCAATAAAGCTCTTTAGAAATGTTCTATGGGCATCTTAAAAGTTTTATATAAAGATTTTTTAAAGCATACAAACATTTATACATATCTATTAGATCACCCTCATTACTTGTATTCCCAGATATATTTTTAACTAGCTTTTTATAAAAAATTTCATTTCTATGATCTCTCATGACATAAGCATGGGTATTCAACCTCTCTACTATTATTCTGTATTGTCCATTTCTCCTTGAAGGTTCTCTAGAGTTTTGTTAGTTTATAGTGTGTTCTGCATTCCTCCCATCCCAAAGCAAAGTTCCCTCTCCCCACTTAAGAATGTTTTCATTTTCATTTTATATATATTTTTATGCTAATTCATGGTTGAAGACGTATGTGTTATAGCCTCATTGTGGATTGCAAATCAGTATAAAAATATTCCTCCTTGATTCCTACAACACTTTGGGTGTCTATATTAATATCATTTTTCCAAATTTCTTTCTGATATGTCTCTAGTTTTCTAAAAGGAAACCATTCTGAGTCACTTTGTTTTTAAGGTGTCTGCTATATAGCATGGAACTGAGTTTGTTTTTTAACCTGAGTTTTATTTTTTAATTGATGAATTTATTCCATAAATATATGTAGTGTTGTTTTGTTTTATTTTTTCTTTCTAGCAGGCTCCACACCCAGCGGGGAGCCCAATGTGCGGCTCAGATTCTCAACTGTGAGATCAAGCCCTGAGCTGAGATCAAGGGTCGGAGGCTTAACCGACTGAGCTGCCCAAGCACGCCAATGTTTATATAGTCTTATATGTTTTCCATTCTCTATTTTATGTATTTTTTCCTTTTCAGATTTTATTTATTTATTTGAGAGAGAGAGAGAGGGAGAACGAGCAGGGGGAGGGGAAGAGGGAGCAGATTCTCCACTGAGCAGGGAGCCAGATTTGAGGCCTGATCCCAGGTCCCTGGCATCAGGACCTGAACGGAAGGCAGACGCTTATCTGACTGAGCCACCCAGGCACCCGGTATTTTTTCTTTTGTTACAAATCTACTTTTTTCATTTCTCTTCCTTTTACTCTCCTGTTACTCCTACCATTTTTCTAAATATTTTAGACATTTTATAGTTTAATTCTTTTAGAAATAACTTATAATTTTAAATACTACAACTTACACATGTATTTCTTGATTTACCAACTTCAAAGATGAAAATAGCTCACTTATACTTCTTTTAGCCTGCCTTTCTTCTGCCTGTCTCCTTGCTGATTTTTTTGTTTTTTTGCCTTGCTTTTTCTGTGTGGATGCCTGTACAATGTGCTCTTTTTCTTTAAAGTTCAGTACTACCACCAACATATGTCTGGGTGTTGATTAGTACATACAAATTTTCCCCTAGGACTGGGGTAGGTCCTTTTAAATTGCAGGTTCAGTTTTCCTTATTTATGTTATTATTTTTTGCTATCTTCTTTAGAGACACTAACAGTTATCACTGTGTTAGATCTCCACTGTCATTCTTCAAATTATTTTTTCTAATGGCTTTCATCTCCTTTTTCTGTTACAATTCTTTTCCTTCATTTTGTTCTCTGATCCCCTGAATCTCTTTACCTCTTGTTATTATCTAAACTTTATTTAATACATTTCATGTCTTCTATAATTATTCATAGTTTAAAACATTTAGGAAAAAATTTGTTTTCTAGAACATGCTTTTACAGATTGTAGTCCCACCTTTCTTTTCCAAACTATGTCTCCTATGCTACTCACTGCAGAGTTGCAATTTTGTTTTTTCATCTTATACATTTTTTTTTATTGTGGTAAAAAACATACAACATTAAATTTACCATCTAACCATTTTTAAGTATACAGTTCAGTAGTGTTAAGTATATTCACATTGTTGTGCCACAGAACTCTAGAACTTCATCTTGCAACATTAAACACCATATCCATTAAACACCAATTCTGCCTCCACCCTTTCTACCAGCCCTGTGCAAATACTTTTCTATATTATGTTTCTGTAATTCGGACTACTTTAGATACTTCACATATGTGAAATATACAGTATCGTCCTTTTGTGACTGGCTTATTTCACTGAGCACAATGTCCGTGAGTTCATCTATGTTGTAGCATGTGATAGGACTGCCTTCATTTTTAAGGTTAGATAATATTCTATTGGATGTAGGTACCACATTTTCTTTTTTTTTTAATTAATTTTTTTAAGATTTTATTTATTTGTTTGATAGAGAGAGAGTGCAAGTAAGTAAGGGGAGCAGCAGAGGGAGAGGGAGGAGCAGGCTCTCCTCTGAGCAGGGAGCCTGATGCGGGACTCGATCCCAGGACCCTGGGATCATGACCTGAGCCGAAGGCAGACCCTTAACCAACTGAGCCACCCAGGCGCCCCAGTACCACATTTTCTTTATCCATTCATCTGTTGATGGATACATGGGTTGTTTCCATAACTTGATTAATTGTAAGTAATACTGTGATGAACATAAGTATGCAGATATCTCTGAGATGTTGCTTTGAATTATTTTGGATATATACCCAGATGTGGGATTGCTGAATCATGGTAATTCTATTTCTAATTCTTTGAGGGAACCTTGATACTATTTTCCATAATGGCTGCAACATTTTATATTCACACCAACAGTGCACAAGGGTTCCAATTTCTCTGCATTGCTGGGACAATAGTTACTTTCTGTTCTTTTTGTTAACATCCTAATGGGTGTGGAGTGGTATCTCATTGTGGTTTGTGATTTCCATTTCTCTGGTGATTAGTGATTTCAAGCATTTTTTAATATGCTTGTTGGCTAGTCATATATCTTCTTAGGAAAACTGTCTATTCAAGTACTTTGCCCATTTTTAAATTGGGTTTCTTTGTTGTTGAATTATAATAGTTCCATGTATAGTCTGGATATTAACCAGTTACCATGATTTGCAAATATTTTCTCCCCATTCCCTAGGCTGCCTTTTCACCCGGTTGTGTCTTTTAATGCAGTTTTTTAACTGAGTAGTATAATTTATTTATTTTTGCTTTTGTTGCCTGTGCTTCTGTGTCATATCCAAGAAATCTTTGCCAAATCAAATGTCATGAAGCTTTTCCCTTGTTTTCTTCTAAAAGTTTTTTAATTTAGCTCTTATATTTGGATCTTTGATCCATTCTGAGTTAATTTTTGTGTATGGTAAAAAGTAAGGGTTCAACTTCATTCCTTTGCATGTGGATATCCAGTTTTCTAACACCATTTGTTGAAGTGTACTTTCTCCACTGTGTAGTCTTGGTACCTTGTGGAAAATCATTTATCTTATAATCATATATCTTATTTTACATATCTTATATCTTATATATCATATATCTTATATATCTTATAATCATATATCTTATTTTATCTATTGATCTTGATGTGAGCATCTGCATCTGGGCTATTTTCAAAATACAATATGGATAGATCAGCTCTTTGACTTCTTTCTTTCCTTATCTAGGTATGTTCTATCTTCCTCTAGAGGTAAAGTCTGACAGCTAGGTAGTAATGACTTATGTTCTATATGTTCTTTTACGTTAGAAATAGGGGGCCATGGGTAAACATGGCCTTTTACTTGGCTTTTACTATTATTTTTTAAAAGTTTGTATTGAGGCTCTGTCTGTCTTTATCACGGTCTTCTGCAATGCCTTCAGATTTTAGGCTTTCCCCTGTTTCAGTACTGAGACATGATATTTCTATTATTATCAGCCTTAGGTATTTATTTGTAATCCTGTTTCTAAGTTCACAGTATCTTTTCCCAGAGGTAATAATTATTTTACATAATGAAGTGATTTGCATGAGAAAGAAAAAAAAAGAAGAAAAAGAAAAATGGATCTCTATTTAAATTGTGAGGCAATGTTATTATCAGAATAAAATGGGGAGCACCTGGGTGGATCAGTCAGTTGAGTATCCGACTCTTGATTTTGGCGTGGGTCATGATCTCAGGGTTCTGGGATTGAGCCCCACACTGGGCTCCACGCTCAGTGGGGAATCTGCTTGAGGATTCTCTCTCTCCCTCTCCCTCTGCCCCTCCCACTGCTCATGCTTTCTCTCTCTCAAATAAATAAATCTCAAAAAAAAGAAGAATAAAATGGAAACACACAAACACAGGCCTTGTCTCTTTCTCACTCTCTGTCACTCCCCTTGTACTCCCCACCTCACCCCCCTGCCCCAATCCCATTACCTGCAATATCTATCTGCAAGGATTCTTTTTCTTTTGTCCAGGATTCCTTAGGAACTGTCCTCTTACTATGGATCTCCTCTTTCTGTTTAATGGCTTTAGTGTCTGGTAGACTTTCAGTCTTTAGGTCTTGTAGTCGAGCTGAGTGCTCTGCATCAGCAGCACCACTGGAACCTAAGAGAGGTAAATTAACACAGTATCCAGACAAGAAGTTGACAAAAAAATATTTTAAAATACCTCTCAAGCATCTAATATGTGAAAGGCACTATTACTGGTATTGAAGAAAAAAAATAAAAAGACCATTTAGAAATGTGTTTAGAAACTATTAATCCATACTGGAGTTAAAAAATATACAAAAACATGGGGTGCCTGGGTGGCTCAGGCATGGTTGGTTAAGCATCCAACTCTTGATTTCGGCTCAGGTCATGATCTCAGGGTCGTGGGACTGAGCCCTGCCATCAGGCTCCGTGCTCAGCAGGGGAGTCTGCTTAAAGATTCCCTCCCTCTGTCCCTCCCCCAATCTCATGTGCATGCACTCTCTCTCTCTCTCTCTCTAAAATAAATAAAAGATATACATAAACAGATGTCATACAAAATAAAAGAATTACTGCATAAGAGTAAGAAATGTATGTACTCAAAAAGGGAGAAACTACTTCGAGCTAGGAGGATCATGAAAGAATTCTAGAGTAAAATAACAACTGATTTGGGTGTTAGAAGATAGCTAACCTGGGATACACACTGATTCAGAAAGAGAAAGGTATTTTAGGCAAAGGTAACTACATATGAAAACAAGAAAGTCAGGAAAGCAACTGAACATCTAAGAAATAGAGCAAGTATATTGTTTATTTGAATATAGAATTTATAAGGAAAAGAGGTATCTAAAAAGTTGTTTGGGAGCTGATTTTACTATTCTGAAAGACTGTACTAAAAGAGTTTAGATTTTATTCTTTTTTTTTTTTTTTAAGATTTTATTTATTTATTTGACAGAGACAGAGATAGCAAGAGCAGGAACACAAGCAGCAGGAGTGGGAGAGGGAGAAGCAGGCTTCCCCTCGAGGAGGGAGCCCGATGTGGGACTCGATCCCAGGACCCTGGGATCATGACCTGAGCCGAAGGCAGATGCTTAACGACTGAGCCACCCAGGCGCCCTAGATTTTATTCTTAAGGGCAATAAAAACTTTCTGATTGTGAGATTAACAGGATCTGTTACTAGAACATTCATTAAGCAACAGAAAAAAAGGGGGGTAAAATTTTGAAATGTTGCCCAGAATATAACATAACTTATGAGAACAAGCAATACACAAAAAAAGAGAAGTGGCTAATTATGCTCCAAAATGTTTCTATTTATAATACTGGCAGAGACTACCAGCTGTCCTCTGAAATCCATTTTCCTTTCCTCTAAAATAAAACCCTGACAATAGAGTGGACAGGTTGAGGGGATCTTGTGTCCTTCAAATTCCTCCAAGTGCATTCCTTCAGGAGCACAAAAGCTCGTTTCCAGTCATTAACTAGTTCAGAATCTGAAACAGAAGCAACTACAGGCAACCAGTGTCCCTAGTCCTATCCCTAGGTCCCTGAATAATACCCCCAAGAGCAGCCCTAGCTATCGACCCTTGGAAATAATTCTGAAAAAGGAACTCATGTCAAAACAGTAAAATGAAGAATCTAAACAACAACAACAACAATAAAAAACAATGGGCTTTGGGAAGATTTTGATTTAGTGGCCTGCTGGGTAAAAGAAATTTTGATAATGTTTATTTGGGGAGAGAAAAACAAAGCAAGTGTATCCTAGCTCTTAAAGTATTACTTAAAACTCAACTGGAGAAAATAAGAGGTAAGGATCAGCTGAGAAGAGAGGCAGAAATCGAATCCCACCTTAGACATCCAAATATTTTCAGACTGTATGGTTACTTCTATGATGCTACTAGTTTACCTAATTCTAGAACAGGCACCCCTTGGATCTGTCTATGGAGAACGTCACAAACAGTCAGTCTGATGAGCAGAGGACTGCTACTCTTCTATAACAGGACTGGCAAATGCCCTGTCTTACTGTCATTCAAAGAGAGTTATTCATGGAGACATTAAGCCAGAGAATCTTTCAATCTTAGGAACCTTGTAGGGAGGGGTGCCTGGCTGGCTCAGTTGGTAGAGCATGTGACTCTTGATCTCAAGGTTGTAAGTTCCAGCTGCATACTGGGTATAGAGATGCCTTAAAAAAATAAAATCTTAAAAACAACAACAACAACAAAACCTTGCAGGGAGAGAAATCCCTGAGCCAGGGCTGCTGTATAATCTGTCAGGAACAGACTACTGACATTTATCTTACTGCTGCCTGCCTGCAATCCAGAGCACTACAGAGTTGTTTTCTTGTTTGTTTGTTTTACTGAGCAGGTAGTACTCCGGTCTCCCTACTCAGAAAGTTTCACTTCAGTAAACATGACAATCTGAAATGAAAGAAGCCACAAGACTCCTGCTGACTTCACTGGTTTCATAATCTGGAGACAAGGTTCAATTGCAGCCACCCCACAGCTTCTTCTGAGTAAGGTGTCCTTGTGGAAGATGAAGCTGGGGTTCAACTGGGGGGACAGTGACCACTTTGCTCCAACTTGATCACTTAAAGAGCCATGCTATAACCTTCCAAGTAACTAAGGGTGTGTGTTACCTACTGGATGGCCAAGCCTGGTAAAGCTGTCAGAATGAACATGTGATTCTTTCTTTCACATGCGAAAATGAAGATTTTTGTATTAAAAAAAAAAAATTAGAACCTTGACTTCACTGGGCATATGGTTACCAGAATAAAGATTATATTTCCCAGCCTCCTGGCAACACAGCTTGGTATGAATGTGTGACTTAAGTCCGGCCAATAGAATGGAAGGGGAATGGTACACGTAACATTTGAGAAGTATTTAAAGAAGGAATATACTTTTTTCTTTCCCTTTCTTCCTTTCTGCTGGCTAGAATACAGGACTGATGGCTAATGCAGGAGAATGGAGGCTAAAAATGTTGGAGCAACAGGAGAGAAAGAGCTTTGTTCCTTGATACAGTGGAGTCCACATCTGGATTTTTACAAGAAAGAGAAATAATTTCCTGTCTTCTTTAAGCCAATGTTACTTTGTTTTTGTTTTTATCTCTCAGAGCCAAAACAAATCCTAACTTTAACACACTATTATAGTCATTTTTAATCAGCATAATCCCACTGAAGTAAATTAACTGGATACGTACTTAAGAAGTAAACAAGCTGAATTTCTAGAGAAAAAGGTTTATGTACAACAATAGTATTAAAGAGAGAGCATCTTGTGGAACTGCATTTTTTATCAGTAAAGTCCATTATGTGAATTTCTTTTTTTTTTTTTTTAAAGATTATTTATTTATTTATTTGAGAGAGAGAATGAGATAGAGCGAGAGCATGAGAGAGGGGAGGGTCAGAGGGAGAAGCGGACTCCCTGCTGAGCAGGGAGCCCGATGCGGGACTCGATCCCAGGACTCCAGGATCATGACCTGAGCCGAAGGCAGTCGCTTAACCAACTGAGCCACCCAGGTGCCCCATTATGTGAATTTCTGGTAATGAGATTAACTTGTGTACTATAGTCACAAAGTTGTCCAGAAATGTCTTAAGAGCTTTAAAAATGTTAATTTTACCTGCCAATCTATACCAAAAAATTGCAGCTAATACTCTATTTCACATATGAGCAAGACAGAGAAGGGTTGAAGACAGTAAGGGAACAGAGAATACTTTTCTGTTTATACTCATTTTAGAAGGCCCGAAGAAAATAATACACAGATAATCCAGTTCAGTTACCTTCAGTGGTTTTCTGCAAGGATTCTTTTTCTTCAGGTTGGGCAGCCTTAGTCACTGCCTTTTTATTGTAGATCTCCTTTTTCTGGTTTTTATCTGAGACGTCTTCATCCCCAATGATGGAAACTTGAACTTGGGCATCTGGAATAATGACATCATGTAATTCCATAGAGAAGGAAAAGACAATAAACACAAAAGGCAAGTAAACCACCCCCCAAAAAAAGTCCAAACAAAACCCCAAACCTCTTTATATATTAAGAAAAAAAAGTATCTCCTAAGCCCCATCACAGCTTTTAAGTTGTGACAGTTATGGTGGGTTTACAACATAAATTGAAAAGCTTTTCCTATTTTTCTGTGTACAATAATGGTTTAAATAAAATACCACTTTATTTTTAAATTTAAATTCAATTAATTAACATAGAATGTATTACTGGTTTCAGAGGTACAGGCCTGTGATTCATCAGTATTATATAATATCCAGTGCTCATTATATCACATGCCCTCCTTAATGCCCATCATCCAATTATCCCAACCCTCCCTCCACCACCCCCTCAAGCAACCCTCAGTCTATTTCCTACGATTAAGAGTCTCTTATGGTTTATCTCCTTCTCTGGTTTTGTCTTGTTTTATTTTTTCCTCTCTTCCCCTATGATCCTCTGTTTTGTTTCTTAAATTCCACATATGAGTGAGATCATGTGATAATTGTCTTTCTCTGATTGACTTATTTTGCTTAGCATAATACCATCTAGTTCCATCCACGTCGTTGCAAATGGCAAGATTTCATTTTTTGATGGCTGAGTAATATTCCATTCTCTATATATACCACATCTTCCTTATGCATTCATCTACTGATGGACAACTGGGCTCTTTCCATAGTTTGGCTATTGTGGATATTGCTTCTATAAACATTGGGGTGCAGGTGCCCCTTCAGATCACTACATTTGTGTCTTTGGGGTAAATACCCAGTAGTGTAATTGCTGAGTCGTAGGGTAGCTCTATTTTCAACTTTCTGAGGAACCTCTATACTGTTTTCCAGAGTGGCTGCACCAGCTTGCATTCCCACCAACAGTATAGGAGGGTTCCCCTTTCTCCACATCCTCACCAACATCTGTCGTTTCCTAACTTGTTAATTTTAGCCTAAAATACCACTTTCAATGAAATCTGTTCTTTACCAGTTTGACACAACAGTTAAAAAAAATCAATTGTCTTTTTCAAAGTATAAAAGTGGATTTGAACAACTCTTTTGAGTTCTTAGGTTTATTCAAAGTTTTTGTCACGTATTGAGCCAATTTTGATATTTCACATCATCCTAGAAAAGTATCTGTACCATCTAGATTTTATATATAGTACTCTTACGATTTTTAAAAACCTCCTGAAATTATACCCTTTTAAAATGGCTTAATATTTTCTATTTTCTTTCTGTTTTTCTTGGTCATACTTGCTAAAGATTTATCTACCTTATTGTTTTTTTTTTGTCTTATTTTTTTTTAAAGATTTTATTTATTTATTTGACAGAGAGAGAGACAGCGAGAGAGGGAACACAAGCAGGGGGAGTGGGAGAGGGAGAAGCAGGCTTTCTGCGGAGCCGAGAGCCCGATGCGGGGCTCAACCCAGGACCCTGGGATCACAACCTGAGCTGAAGGCAGACGCTTAACGACTGAGTCCCCCAGGCGCCCCTATTGTTTTTTTTTTTTTTTTAAATCAGCTCTTTTCTTTCTTATTATATGAGAAAACTCAAGTGTAAAATATGTTACTAAATATATTAAAAATCACCAATAAAACAACTAGGATAACAATAATGGTTATGTTTTTACAATGGGTCAAAAAGAGGTTCAGCTCATCACTAAGTATGAATATTTTTCAACAAAGAAATCAGAAAAGCGATAGAGATTAGTAAAGACATAATGTGTCTACCAAAGAGTTTAAGAAATAAAACATTACAGATATGATTCCCTGTGTAAAACCTCAGAGATGCCATTCTCTGTCTTTAGGGTAGCAACCTTTATGCTGAATTTAGAGTTTATCAATTTCAAGGATGTTTCTGAATTTTTTTACTTTATTGCATGTATTAATCAACAGTATGCACCCAGACTAGAACATAGAGCTATACTATGTTTAAAAATTGCCCTGGGATCAGCAGTACCTATTTAGCTAATAGCTATGCACAGGATTAAAAACAGTAAATGGAATAAAGCAACACAGGGAATTATACATGTAGAATTTTCAGTGGCCACTGGAGTCTCCATTTAATAAATACAACCATGTATCAACTAGGGAAGTATAATGTCAGGGATGCAGAGGAAAAAAATCAAGTAGGTCTTTAAAGATTAAAAAGTTTCATAAAAGAGTGGGGCCTATATCTGGGGATAGGGTTGAAAACTCAAATACCCACAGTGGCGAGACAGATAAGGTGGACAAATGAAGCAGACTGGCTCTGAGAAGTGAGGGGACTTGAAGCAAACACGAGAATGTACATCTTCTCTGCAGGGAACAGCCAAGCATCAGGGGCAGGTGATTACTGCCATGGGGGAATGCAAGCTGAGTGTAACCAGATATTCTTATTTTTAAAATTTAAAAATTTTAAAAATCTTATTTTTAAATGTTGGCAGCAAAATGAAAAGAAACTTTAGAACACTATGTGAGCCATATACTTTCTTGCAAAATCCAATCTATGAAAATACTAGTTTGTACCATTAGATAAATTCATGAAGCAACTTTAATCCAGATTTCCTATGTTTCTAAAACATACCCGATTAGATAATATTTCACTTCAAAAGTTGCAGTATATTTTATTTCCCATAGTGAAAATAAAATTAATAGGTTTAAGAAATCTGTGAAGCATTTTAAAAGATTTTGTAACTATTTTACCTTCTTGTTTATACCCAATAAAACAGCTAATAGAAAAGTTTGTATAACACCAGAAATAAGATAAAGACTGGACAATATTCTCATTTAGGATAACCCGGGGGAAAAAAAAAAGGCCATAAAATATACAAAGCCAATTCAGTTACCTGCATTATCTTTCTGAGGGGGTTTTCCCCCCATTGGCAAGGTTGGCTTAGCCACCACCCTCTTACTGTAGATCCCCTCTTTATGTTTAATGTTATCAGTGACTGGTAGGTCATCATCCCTCGTGCCTAGCACCTCCGCCGGGAAGTCTGGAGCAATGGCATCATTGGATCCTACAGAAAAGTGGGAAAGTAGTACAATTAACACAAATGTAGACATGAAGTTGAAGAAAGACAAAAAAATTTACCTGTTAAACTGCTTCTATTAAAAAGGCACTGCAGGACGTGAGGGCGATCTGGCTGCAACATCTGTCACCCCATTGATCGCCAGGGTTGATTCGGCTGATCTGGCTGGCTAGGCGGGTGTCCCCTTCCTCCCTCACCGCTCCATGTGCATCCCTCCCAAAGCTGCGCGCTCGGTAGAAGAGGACAACCTTCCCCGATAGAGGAGGACCGTTCTTTGGTCAAGGGTATACAAGTAGCTGCGCTCCCCTGCTAGAACCTCCAAACAAGCTCTCAAGGTCCATTTAAAAAGGTACTGCAATAGGAGTGTTGTAATGTGATCAGAAGGCGATGTCACTCAAATTGAAGCTGTCAGACATGTACAATAAATTGCAACAATACATGGTAGAGAAGCAAATGACAGAAAATATATAGAGTATCAGTTCAGAAGAAAGAATTTCCAGTTCAGGAAGGTTTTCAAAGAAAGGAGAATACAGACTGTAACTCGGAAAATAAGCAGGCTTTTTGAAATATGCAGAAGAAGGAAGAAAGACATTTTAGGCAGAGGTGAAGCATGAGCAAAGACAAGGAGGCAGGAAAGCAAAAAGTATGTAAGAACAGCAGTCACTCTGTGGTCAAGCCAGATCATAGAATACATTAAAGAAAGCGGTGGGAAATATAAAAAATAACTGTTCAGGGCAAAATTCAGCAGAGCATGGAATCCCAAGCTAAGCTAAAGAGTACAAATTTTATTGTACATGAAATGTAACACTAAGGAGGGCACGTACTGCATGGAGCACTGGGTGTTATAAGCAAACAATGAATCAGGGGACACTACATCAAAAACGATGTACTGTATGGTGACTAACATAATAAAATAAATAAAAAATAAAAAAATAAAAAGCAGAGTTTGCAGAAAATTTTAGTGAAGGGAAAATGTAATCAGCTATGTTTTAGGAAGATTAATCTGACAATAATACAAGATATAAAACACTGAAAGGAAAATCTTATGTGATAAAGAAATACAAGATTGCAAAGTAATTTTATTTTCTTTTAAAAAACATTTCAATATTCCTATGTCCACTGATAAGAGAAGTTTATCCATGCCATAAAAAAGAGGTGAAGAACATTTCTGAGCACCTAAAATATATATGGCAATAAGAGCTGAGTATCAGTCTCATTAGTACAGTGCAAATGTAAGTAAGTCATGAAGGATTTTTTAGGACAGACTGCAAGGATCCTAAGCCTGCTCGGTCATATGTACAGATTAAATTGGGCTTTTTCTCAGCTGCTTTTCACACTGCATTCTCATTTGTCAAATGCATCAAGCACTTTCCTGTTTCAGGAGCTCTGCCCATTTTGTCATTCTCTACTCTTTGCCTACCTAACCCATCTTTATCCTATAGACCTCATCTCTAAAGTTTTTTTCTTGAAAAGGCCTTCAGGAGCTCCTAAAACTAAACTGGGTACTCTTATTATTCTCATCCAGTTCTACTTTATTTTCTTAACACTTATCATTTGTAATTATGTATTTATTTGTGGTCTATTTGTTTACTCTCTGTAACAACATTCCACATACTCCATAAACTTGGGACCATGTTTATTTTGCCTCTGTAAACGTAGCACCTAGTATAGTATTTGCCAGGAACACAATAAGAGCTTTAATACTTTGGGGTTGAAGAGAAAAAGAACATGAACTGAAGCTTTTGTCACCTTAAGAAAAACAAAACAAAACAACCAAACTTTGGTTTTATATGCTTTGGAATGAATATATACAGGGAATGCAATATATGTAGTTTCATATCTGTTTTTTTTTTCACTCAATTCAAGATAAATTTTAAATGGAATCTAGAGTTTAAAGTCAGCATATAAAACGAAAAACCATACAGGGTTGAAATTATCTCGGGAAGGTTCCTTAAAGAAGGCACCATGTTGAAATTGACATCCTATGGGCTCAACAAATCCACCAGAGAGTACTTTTTCCTCTTGGCTTGCAACGAATCATTGTGCCTGCTTCTGAGCACCTGATGAAGTGCTTGGCCTGTGTCGAGAGGCCATGTTGTAACAAAAAGACACTGGGTGTTATACGCAAACAACGAATCATGGAACACTACATCAAAAACTAATGATGTAATGTATGGTGACTAACATAACATAATAAAATTAAAAAAAAAAGACACTTCAACTCTAGAATCATTCTCAGGGAATCAAGATAAGCTGTTTAAACTATTATAAAAGGCAAACGAGGACAGTAAACTTTGAGAAGAGAGGTTTCCCATCACCCATTTCAAATTTCATCATAATATGTTCATAGAGTATATAGACTGCACACAACTCTTGCACCCTTTTTAAGATTTTATTTTTGGGTAATCTCTATACCCAACGTGGGGCCTGAACCCACAACCCAGAGATCAAGAGCTGCACGCTCCACTGACTGTACCACCCAGGCACCCCAACTCTTGCACTTTTAGCATGTCTATGCTAAAAGACATATGCTCTCTCTTTTTTGTTAAGCGTATGTAATTGAACATGCTTAAATTAAATGCATATATGACCAAACGGCAATGTATGCTAAATTTATCATAGTGAAAAAATTTCATTGTAATCCATTCATTTGACTTTACATTTTCTTAAAGTTTCTTGTTCTTTTTTTTTTTTATTTTAGGATTTTATTTATTTTTTTTCAGACAGAGACAGCGAGCACACAAGCAGGGGGAGTGGCTAGCAGAGGGAGAAGCAGGCTCCTCACTGAGCAAGGAGTCCGATGCGGGACTCGATCCCAGGATCCTGGGATCATGACCTGAGCTGAAGGCAGACATTCAACTGACTGAGCCACCCAGACGTCCCTCCTGTTCTTGTTCTATGCTATTTTGCTAATTTTGTACACTCAACAGTAATTTGGAAGATAGATATCAAGTTTTAAAATTCTATTAGAGGGGCACCTGGGTGGCTCAGTTGGTTCAGTGACTGCCTTCGGCTCAGGTCATGATCCCGGAGTCCAAGGGTTGAGTCCTGTGTCCCGCGTCCCCCACTGGACTACCTGCTTGGCGGGAGTCGGCTTCTCCCTCTGACTCTCCCCTCTCTTGTGCTCTTTCTCTCAAATAAATAAATAAAAATTAAAAAAAAAATTCTATTAGAATTTTTCCGGTAGTATTTTTTTTTAGCATTAAAAATTTTTTTTTAAAGATTTTATTTATTTGACAGAGAGACACAGCAAGAGAGGGAACACAAGCAGGGGGAGTGGGAGAAGGAGAAGCAGGCTTCCCGCACAGCAGGGAGCCCAACGCGGGGCTCAATCCCAGGACCCTGGGATCATGACCTGAGCCGAAGGCAGACGCTTAATGACTGAGCCACCCAGGAGCCCCTAGCGTTTTTTTATTGTGGTAAAATATACATTTGCCATTCTAACCAATTTTAAGTATACAATCACACTGACGTGCAACCATCATATCATTCTTCTCCAGAATTCACACATTTTCACAAACCAAAACTGGACCTATTAAATGATAACTCCCTTTTTCTCCTCCCCTCAACCCTTGGTAACCACTGTTCTACTTTACTTTATCTCTATGAATTTGACTACTCTAGGTACCTCATGTAAGTGGAATCTTAGAATATTTGTCCCTTTGTGATTTGCTTATGCACTTAGCACAATATCTTCAGGGTTCATCAATAATGTAGCATGTGCCAAATTTCACTTTTTAAGGCTGAATAATATTCCATTGCATATATGTATCACATTTTATGTATTTATTCATTAGCTGATAGATATGAGTTGTACCACCTTTTGGCTACTGTGAATAATGTTGCTATGAACATGAGCATACAAATATCTGTTCAAATCCCTGCTTTCAATTCTTTTGGGTATATGTTAGATCATATAGTAATTCCATGTTTAATATTTTTAATATTTTTTTTTTTTTAGAGAGAGAGAGAGCATGTGCACAGTGGGAGAGGGGGGGCAGAGGGAGATGGAGAGAGAGAATCTTAAGCAGGCTCCATGCCCAGCATGGAGCCCGACGTGGGGCTCAATCGCATGATCCTGAGATCATGACCTGAGTCGAAATCAAGAGTCTGACACTTAACTGACTGAGCCACCCAGGTACTTCTCTACGTTTGACTTTTTCAGTAACCACTACATTGCTCTCTGTAGTGGCTACATCCTTTTAAATTCCCACCAGCAACACACAGGGGTTGCACTTTCTCCATACCCCCACCAAACCTTGTTATTTTCTGTTTGATAACAGCCATCCTAATGCATATGGAGTGGTATCTCACTGTGGTTTCAATTTGCCTTAGGACTAATAATATACAGCATCTTTTTAATGTTCTTTTTTGGCCATTTGTGTATCTTTCTTGGAAAAATGTCTATTCAGATCCTGTGCCCATTTTAAAATTAGACTCTTGGCTGTTGTTGAGTTGTAAGAGTTCTTCATATATTCTGAATATTAATCCCTTATCAGATATATGATTTGCATTTTGTTCTAATTCTGTGAATTACCTTTTTACTCTGTTGATAGTTTTTTGATATACAAAAGTTTTAATTTTTCATAAACTCCAATTTCTTTCTTTTGTTCCCTGTGCTTTTGATAACATATTAGTTTTTAAAGAACTTCTTTAACCTATCTGATAACCAAATCATGAATAAAATAAAACTTCTTTGGTCTCTTCTATTAAACACAAAGAATATAACTAAATTGGTTTTTGTTTTCATGCTTTTCATCCCGAAATTAACTTCTGACATTTTTTATTCATCTTGTAACTAAAATTTCTATTTAGATGAGTGCTTATGTTAACCTGGCTTCAAAGTTCACCACTGCTTCATTACTCTTTCTGGAACTCGTCATTTATTATTTTTTTATATTTTATTTTTTTTTAAGATTTTATTTATTTATTTGACGGACAGATAGAGAGCACAAGTAGGCAGAGAGGCAGGCAGAGGGAGAGGGAGA